TTAAGTATAACCCGAATAAGAGAATTAGCCTATATAAGCTTATTACTTTCTGGAATAATATAAGGTATAAGATAAATAAATATAAGATTTAGATATAAAGCTAACTAGAATAGATATAGCTTCTCCTATACTTAATTAATTTTTTTTTTGAATTCCAATTTCCTTCTCGCTCTTATATATTACTTACTAGTTTTCCCTTATATAACTATTACTAGTTTATTATTTTGTAATTTGCCTAATATCTTATATTAGGTCTATATTTACAGGTAACCTTATATTTCTTAAGAATAAGAGAACTCGGTATAGTTTCCATAGCTACCGGATATAATTAGTATCTAATATAATTATTACTAAGAAATCATTTACTTACGTGTGCCTAATTCAGGAGACAAATCAAATTATTAGACTACTTTAATTAAACGGTTTGGTCTGTCCTTAGAAGTAATATTAAAAGGTAAAGTAATATTAGTATGGCCTTATATAAATTTTACCCGAGTAATTAAATCTAGGTCTTTACTAGTAAAGATATAAATATTGAGTTTCTTTATTAAATCCAAGTAGTTAAGAAGCGCTTTTAGTTCAGAAATAAATGGCTAAAAGCTATTAATATTAGGTAATAAGGATATATTATAGGTAAATTTATATAAAATAATACCTTGCTCTATAAAGCGCTATATATTGCCTTTAATATTACGGAGCTATTTAGTAAGACTTGAAGTTTTCTAAGGCATAGCTATAGATCTAATATTTACGAGAATTTTATTCTTATTTAGAGAGAAATAGTTATATAGTAAGATAATACCAAAGAGTTTCTAAACCTTATACTTGACGAATATCTGCCTAATAGTTATAGTTAAAAGAGTAATATCTGCAGGTTTTAAGCTATAGCTAGTATTCGCGATACTTAATAAAGAGTTATAGTATTAAGCGAAGTAAGGAAGAATAGTAGTGGCCATATTACTGAGATAATTAATTAAAGATTTTAAAGGTGAAAGTTAAGGTCTATTAGTTATTGGGGTAATTGGCATATAATAAAGGGGAAGTATATAGTCTCGTTTTATAGCCGTTATTGCGGAATAGGACGATAATAACGTGCCGAGCCATGATTAGGATAAACTTTATGCCCAGGTAATCTTGTGCGACTAGCGCTAACCCAATCTGAAATCTAAGAGGAACGCGGCGCTCGTTTACCTACTAAATGATATGCACTAGTAATGCTCGGCAGAATAATTTCTCCGCTTTGGTTCTCGGTATAGCTCTAATTGCGGGGAAAACACGAATCCCCCCCCTAGTATCCTATGTATAGTAAATGCCGAGTTATTGCCGCCCATATATATTTAGATTTCTCACGTTGAATATAGAGATGCCTAGTATATTGCTGCTAATTAATTCTATAGGCAATACTATAAATATGCCTGGGCATTTGCGTTATACGTGCTATATTATTGGTCTCCCCCGGTCCAAGGGCAATAGTTGGTTCAAGGAGAGAAGCAAATGACTTATAGAGCCTTGTAGCTGCAAAACACGTACTCGCGACCATTGGCTCGTAGCGGGCGAACCCCCGTACTATACGTTGGAGGGAGGATTTGAGAGCCTTATTTGTAAAGCAGGGTGTTGGGCAAGTATTAAGTCTTCCCTAATTGGATGTTCTTTCCGCTTTCTCGCTTAAAAGGGCGGCCGTAGTTAATATCCCGGTGCGAAGATATCTAAATCTGGTATATATATATGACAGGAACGCTTCCCCAGGCGGCGTGATTGAATCGCACTAATCTTGAAGCTTAAATGAATCTTGGGAATCCTTGAAGTAGCGGGCTGGAATGGTTACTTGAATTAATGGGTGAGTCACCCGCTATGTTTTGGTTAGCAAAGGCTGGCAGCCATTGAGCTTACTTGTTCTCAGAGGGCTGCGCTGTGAATACAGAGCCTAATTAGATGAGGCTCCTGCGTTGTGTCTCGCCTCTCTAGCCCCAGGTGCCTTAGCTGCAGCTGTAGCTGCAAAGCGCTCAAGTATTCGCGCCCCGGAACGGCTTGTACTATGACTGGCAGCGGGAAGATAGAACCGGAAGCAAGTGAACTTGACTCTTAGTCTAATAACAGGCGGATAGAATATAAATACAGGCAATAGATTACCTCGTTATTTTCAGTATTAGAAGAAAACTTACCTTTACCTCCCGATAACTCCAAGTATTCTTACTGGTTTTTCCTAAATATTTATTCTATTATTTAAATAAAACTTCCCCTTATTAATATCTCTAGCTATCTTTATTATAGCTACTCTTTCTGCTATCTCATCTTATTTATTTAAGCTAGACAAAGTCTATAACCTAGTGGTATATAATACTCTTTTATCTCTCTAATAAGCCTATAGTTTAATAATAAAAGATATAATAACTAAACTTTAGGATCTAATTCGGAAGATATTTCTGGATTATAAAGTATAAAGCTATTATAGTATATATCTTCTCTATAATTACTTTTAAATAGTTAATAATTAATATCTCGTTAAATACGGCCTTATCTCTCTTTCTTAGAATCTGGGTAATAAAGACAAGAATATAGTACCGAAATTTAATAGAATTATTATATCTCGATTAATTAGGCTACTTAATAGCAAACTAGTACTATTTAAGTTTACTTTCTTTTTAATAGAGCCTAAACTTAATATTAGATTTTTAATAGAGGCTCTTTATATAATTTAGGACTTGAAATTATATAATATCTTAGAAATTTAATATTTTAAAAAATATAATACTTAGATTTTAGTTAAGATTATATAAGAGAATATAAATATTATAGTACTATAAGAAGTACTTTTAGATTTATAACTTATTAATATATTCTAAGTCTTTAATAAGAATAAAAACAATAAATACTATTATAGAGAATAGTACTTTTTATAAAAAAAATACTAATTACTAATAGAACTATAATTACGAATAAAGAAATAGAATGAATTTTAGAATCTATTATTATACTAATAGTTATTAGAGTATTTTATATCTGTCTTTATTAATAATTATTAGATATTTTATACTTATTCTTACTAATTACTTACTATTATTACTTTATATAAAAAATCTAATTTAGGTAAATATTTGAATTTAGATATTAATAAATCTAGCTTATTTCTCTTATCTAATATACTTCTTTATTAATAGTCTTATTTCCCGAAATATACTAGTAAAGATACTATACTTTATTTATATCTCTTCTATAGCTTTAAAGTTATATCTACTATATAATAGAACTCTATTAGGAAATATTATAATAAAAGAATTCTAATAATAGTTATTTACTATATTATAGCCTTACTATAGTAATATATATCTAATACTCTTCCTTTAATACTCTAGTATTACTAATATTATATTAAGTTCTAATAAGAAGTAGTTAGATTACTTTAGTATAGAAATAGTTATAGACTTATTTTATATATTTTATTAACTAAGTAATATTTTTAGGTATTTTTCTTTCAGATATTTTAAAACTCGATTTCAAGTTTTAATATCTAGTATTATAGAATTCTAGAACTTGCGCTTCTTATTTAATATTACCTTTTACCTTATTTCTTTACTACTAGACTCTAAAGTCTAAATAATAAAGCTAATATAACTAGAGCCAAAAGTAACTTTACGGAAATAGTATAACTTATTCTCTAAGCTTTCTTTTAGGCTCTTAATTATTTATCTTATTTCTTTTTCTTTTTTATAAGAATCTGTATTTGCTTCCGGAAATATAATCTTTTATAAAAAATCTTATTATATTATAGGAAATTAATATTAATAAACTAATATATTAGTATTATTAATACTTATATCTAATAGCTAGTACTATATTTCGAGGAAAGTATAAAAGCTTGAAGTTAGTTTTATATTAGAAATTGAAATAATATTATATTATGACTTAATTTATAGTTTCTCTTATATTTTACTAGAGTTATATTCCAGAATATATTATATATATAATTAATATCCTATATCCTATAAATATCTGAGCTATATTATATTATTAGCTCATTATATAAGGCTATACTATACTAAATTAATCTTTTAATATATATAGGATAGTTAATAGGTTAGGTATATAGAATATAACTACTTATTAAGTTATAATTAATAATAAGTACTTGTCTTTTTAAGGGAATTCTCGCTACTTATATTAGGCTCAAAAATTTTATAATTATATTATAGATTAGAGCCTAAATATACTAGGTCTTTTCGGTCAGTATTGAATTATTAACTAAATTATATAGTATTTAAATATAAATGCCTTAATCTAACTCTAATATTTTTGTCTCTTTTCTAAAGCCCGTCTTAGTTAGTATAAGACATCTTTTATTAAAATGGCAGATATTCTATAATTTAGTATAAATATTACTAAGAAAATATTAATTATCTTAATAAGACTATTAGTTTATACTTTATATTTTTATATTTATAGACTTCTTACTAATCTAAGGTAGTTATAATTAATTTCTCCCTAATATTATATTTTCTTAGATAGATATACTATTTAATAGATTTAAAGAACTCTATATAATAATTGCAAAATATAATACCTAGAGCTATTTCTGATTATAATTCCTTTATTACTATATAATAATCCCTAATAAATATATATTATTAGATACTAGTATAATGGAACTATATAAATACTAGATAATACTTATATATATTTCCGATATTAATTTATAGAGAGTTTATAGGTATATTATCTCGGTAAATATAACTAGCTATATAAGTAAAGGCAAGAAGAGAAATGCCCTACTACTTCTCTCCGAGTTTTATAAAGGTCTGCTAGTTAGTATTAGAAATATTAATTATAATTTCTTTATAGAGTTTACTAACTGCCTTTAGGTAAATGGCTTGGAAAATATATTAGGGCTTGAGGTAATATAAGGCTAGGCTGGGAAAATAATTGAATTTTCTTTTAATACTAGTAGTTTTTTACTTATAGAGGTAGTAGTAAGAAGGTAATTCGAGTTTCGAGAAATAGGATAGACTATTATAGTTAAGGATAGAGCTATTAATAAGAATAGAGAGATATGGTATCTTATATATATTACTAGCTATATTAAAGCTACTAAAATTCAGGTAAAGAGTATATTAAATACTTTAAAGATTTTAAGAAATAAAGATATACTAGTATAAAAGATCTCTTTAATTTTATTATCTGTAATCTTATATTTTACTAATATTAAATTAAGTATGCCTTTTATAATAAGACTATAATTAAGGCTAAATTACTAGTTAGAATAGTATCTAATATTAGAAGGGGCCTGGCTTTATTAGATAGATATTATATATAATTATATATACTAATTTATTAATAAGCTAGTTTTATATAATATATTATATGTCTTTTTCTTTTTCTTTTTTCTTTTTATTTCATTTCTCTGAGATATCTAATAGGCTTACTTGAATAAAATCTGCTATTAGTTCTTTATCTATTACTTCTATAGTTATAAATGCTTCTTCCCCTATTTTATTCTAAAATATTATACTAAACCTATTATATTAAATTAATTTCCTTAAATACTTTAATTTAATCGAGTATATTCCCGCAAATACCTTACTAGTATCTAGAGCAGGTTAAGGCAGAAGGATCTCTTAACCGGATAGCTTTATAATATTACCTAATACTCTTAATAGCCTTAGTAAAATATATAGTTTAAACCCTAATAAACTACTAAACCAAATTTTATCTAGAATATTAGTAGGCCTATTAATAATTACCTATTAAAGAGTGTATTTCTCTAATTGAATTGCTTTTTTAAAATATTAGTTAGCTATAAATTTTCTCGCATACTATATACTTACTATAATATAATATTATACTTACTTCTATAAGAGCCGCATTAGATTATTGGTTTTCTGAGCTCTAAAGTAAGCCTTATATAGTTATAGGGGCAGTAGCTAAAGTATTATTATTATAATTTAAGAGAGTACTAATAGTACTAATACCCGTTCTCTCGGAAATTAATTCTCTTATTCTTTATTACTAATCCGCGATATAAATGTTTATTGCATTTAATGAGATATTACTAAGCAGATTCCGTCCTTAATTATTAATAAATATCTGGGATAATAGCTAATAGTCGTCCAAATAGTTTATTATTAAGTGCCGCTACCCGGAATTATTAGAAGCAGATGCCTAATATTATATTAGGGCTTGAGGAAACCGGGCCTGAGGAGTCTTATACTATGTCTTAGATCTATAAGCTTTTAATATATAGTAACTCTAGTAAACTACTAATAGAAGACTCTTCTCCGGACGAGATATCTAGTGAGCCATAAGATCTCTGGCGAAGCTCTATAGCTATTGCCTTACGAATATAGTACCTTTTTTTTGGTTCTTTTTAATTACCTAATTTGTAGCTAGTATTAGTAGAACTCTTAAATTAAGCGTCTTGCTTAATAACGGGTTATTTATATCTATATCTTATATTTCTTCTATTCGGTTATAACTAAGTATTAATTATTCAGGTCTATATTTATTAATATTACCAGGAACTAGTATAAGTAAGGAGTTTGCGGCCTATCTGATTTGAGATTACTAGCTAGGTTAAAATTAAAAAGTAATAAGGCATTAAAAGGGTTTATAGAGTATTTATAGGATTTTATTACTTAGGTTATTCTAGCCTTCTTTCTTGTATTTATTAATTATACTAAGGCCTTAAAAGAACTAAATTACTTTAGTAAATATATCTCCTTTAATTAGTATATACTTCTTCTAGTTTTTAAAGATTTAGAAGCCTTCCTAATAATAGGTAGTAGTACTTATATAAGATTACTAATTTGATTAGGGAATAGAATTAAGTATCTAGTATATAAGAAATTCATAAATTTATGATATTTTTAGCTAATTTTTATCTAGCCTACTATTTTCTTCCGAATAATTTTAGGGTTATACTTCCCTAATTAATAAATTATAGTAATTATAAAAGTAATACTACTATTTATAATTATAGAAAATTATTGCTTTATAGTATTAAACTTTAAGATAAGGTTATAGTAGAAAGTTATTAAGAATCTTTATAAGATCTTATTAAGTATATGGCCTATTTCTATAATATATATATATATTTGTAGTAATTTACTAGAGACTAAAGATTAATACCGTTTTTGGATAACTAGTATAAAATATTATAATAGTTTTACTTAAGTGCCTCTATAATACTTTTAGGAATATTAATGTCTTTGGATTAAATAAACTATAATAAACCGAGTCTAGATATTCCGGAATTCTTATTCTTGGATAATAAATTCCTGCCCTTAAGTAGCGGATTAGGCTAGGATCCTGAATTATTATTCTTAGATAATATATTTTTCTATAATACTAAAATTTTTGCAAGGTTAATATATAATTTCTTGGGTAGTACTAGGAGATACTATTAAAGCTTCTTAATATACTATATGCGGTTAGCCTAAGGAGTTCTCCTAACTAGCTAAATAAAATCACCTTGTTATTAATAAGTAATTCCTCTAGAGTATAGTACTCTAACCGGGAGCGTATATCCTTGCTAACTTATTGGCCTATTACAGATATAAAGAGATAGATCAGGCTGGAGTCTGTCTTGGATCCACGAAACTAGAAATCTCTGCCTTTGGTCGGGCGACATAAGCCAGAAATAATAAATCGACCCCAGCCCCCACCCCGAACCCCCTCTTTTAAGAGCCCTCGAGAAGCCACGTAGCTTCGGCTCTGGCCGGCCGTGCAGATGCCGCCAGCGCTAAAAGCCGAGCCAGAAACATGTTCCTCCCGGGATTTCAGGTTTGGTTAGCGTGGATGCCACGCTGTGTCACGCATGCAACGCACGCACAATTGAGGGGGCCAGTGCACCGTGCATCAAATCATGGCCCGCCAGCTGCTTTGGGGGTGATGGTGCTGCATACGAGCCAGTGATCGAGGGGGCGATCCGCAATTGCAGGCGCGGGGGGTTTGTAGTACCCCGCTTCGTAAATCGCCTCACATTTTTCAACCTACCGGAGGCCCTCTATGATTGCGCACGTATCCCGTGGCGGCTGAGAATAATTCTGATTCATTGGCTTACGATGGTTATTTCCAGGACGCTATGCAATATTTCCCCCGCCTTCCGCCCTACATCCACGGCCCGCCAGCTGCTTCGGGGGTAACGATGCTGCAAACAGGCCAGCGATCGAGGGGACCTGCGTTTGCACAGAACTATCATCCATACTTCATGTTGAGTTGGATATCTTGATTGTTTCTCATGGCCAATGCAACATGCGGCACCCGCGGGCTGGAAGAGGGATGGTGGTAAGTATCCGAAGACTTGGGACTCCAATTACGGGTCCTATCCGGGGCGCTTCTATAGTCAATATCAAAACACCACACTTTATACTCCTCTAGAGTATGTATGTCTTTTCACTTCGGTATTAATGGCAAGAGTAGAAGTCGGCTTCTCGTTTAACCGTCTTATTCGATTATAGATATCCATCTCGCTCCTGCGTCTTAATTAGAATAATCAAGTTACTTTCTTCTCAAGTGGGAAGACTGGAATCCTATATATAGTATTATAATCGCTTTAATATATTATTTGATTCTATATTTCCTGTATTATATATTAATAAGTTATATTAATTAATAAAGATTCTAATATATCTCGCTATAATTATAGAGATGAGAAAACTAGAGTTATATCTATAGTATTGGCCTGATTAGACTTCTAATATAAAGAATAGTATAAGAATTAATAAATATATAAGTATAGAAATCTCCCTTCTAGTTTAACTATTATCTCCTTCTATATCTAAATTCTTTAAGTAATTCTAGAGCTTCTTACTTCTATATATATCTTATCTACTATATAGATTAAAGCCACTATAACTTCTTTATTTAATAATGTCCCTCTAATACTTTCTAATAATAATAGAGTATAATAAGAACGGTTCTCTACTAATTTAAGTAATCTCCGATATTTAAGCCTTAATTCTGGACTATATATTATTTCCAGGCTTTACTCGTATATTTACTACTATTATAGGGTATTTTACTATTAACTTGAGTTCCTATATTCCTTTACTATATATCTTTAGGCTATTTGTATTCGCTTATAAATATATTTAAAGGTATATACTAGAATAGCTCGAGGCTTATTTTAGTTAGTACCCTTACCTTTTATAAGTAAAGTCTCTAGTTCTAACTATTAGTAGCTTTAACTATTTATATATAATATTATAAAGAGGTCTATAATATACTACTACTATAAATGTCTTCTTAGAGCTCTATCTAGGATATTCGCTCTCTCCTTATTACTACCGATTTGGCCTCTAAATTAATATGGTTTCGGCATTCAAATAGCAGAGATATAAAGCAAAAAACTATATATTATATATTCTGGAATAGGCGCTTTTTCTTTCGGTATAATAACTATCTGCTTATACTCTGGCATGAATATCGAGCTAGAGAATTCAATAGTTAAGAAGACGTCTGTATTTTTTGCTTTAGTAGATCTCTATAAATTATTAAAGAACTACTTACTAAATACTCTATCTAGTACTTAAAGCTTCTTTAGAATAAAACCTCTCTCTATAAATATAAAGATAATATCTAGATAAGGTCTATTATAATAGATATAAGATCTATCTTAATAGTTATTTTTAGTAGAAATAGAAAAGAGGAACTACTAAAAGATATTGGAAAGTTCCTTAACTAGATAGCTCGAAAATAGTATTCCGGCCGTAGTATTTCTTACTAATAGGGTTACTTGCTATATAGACTCCCTGAAACTAGAAAATCAAGTTTAAGCTTATTTATTACTAGATGTTTTAATTTGGATATCTATATTCTTAGCCTTTCCGCTATTATTAACAAATATACCCTAAAGAGTCTATTTACTAAGTTTCTAAGCCGCTATATTATTCTTTTGGAAGATATTAATGCTATTAGTTCGAAATGATTTATAGATACTGAAATAGAGGACTTTCGCTAGACTAGCTCTTTTTCTTAAGGAGGAAAATCTGCTTATAGGGGGTATTCTTATCTGCTCTTTTAAATATTATTAATAGTATAGCATTATAAGAAGGCCGGATTCTAATTATAACTACTAATTATATTATATGCCTTAATAAAGCGCTTATATAATCTGGCCATATAGATAGGAAGGTTAAGCTCGGGCTTACTAATAAGAAAATAATAGAGGACTTCTTTTATATTATTTTTAAGCTAATAGAAGGCAATGTCGCTCTTCTAAAGAACTCTTAATTAGATATACTAGTTAGATTAGAAGAGGATAGTAAGGCCCCTGAACCTGCAAGAAGTCAGGAGGAAGAGGTCCAGAGAGTTAAGGGGGAAGAGATCGAGAGAGTTAAAGGAGAAGAGGTCGAGAGAGTTAGGCGGTTAGTAGAAGAGTTTGCTGCCAGGGTACCGGAGCTAGTATTTAGCCTAGCTGAAATTTTATTATTTCTTTTGGAATATAGGTAGTTATCTGGGGAAGCTATTAATAATATAGAGGTATAGATAACGAGAATTAGGGAGGAAAGATAGGAAGTAAAGAATAATATTTGAGGTTTTTGGATATTTAATATATAAATATATAATGCTTTTATTTTATTAATATGGAAGTAATATTTAAATCTAATTTACTATTTAAGGCATATTTTCTATAATATAATCTTAATTACTTGTAATACTTAGATTAAAGTAAAATATACTAGGCTAATAATAATAATAATAATAATAATAATAATACTATATAATTTAAAATAAAGCGGGATTAGATTAGAAACGATTAAAGTACTATTAGTACTAAGTCTAAAATACTCGAGTATAATATTATATAAACCCAAATATATTACAAAAATAACTAACTTAAATAAATATAGAAGAAAAGGCAAATTTAATAAAAAGAGAATAGTAATATAAGTTCTAAAGGCTATATATTAAGTAAGGAAAGCTTCTAGACCTAAAAGTAGAACTAATTAAAAGAAAAGAAAAAAATAATAGCTAAATACTAAATGCGTCTTAAATAGTTTTAAATGTAGCTATTAACTTTATTAGCTCTATAAGATCTATATCTAGCTTTAGATTATATTTCTTTTTATATTAAGTAGTAAAAGAAAGAAAGCTAGTCGGATTAAATCCGTTTTATACTTCTATCTTTATAGGCTATACTTTAATCTTAACTACCGGTTATACTTTAGCCTTAATTACTTGCGAGACTAATACTCTAATAAATAGAAAGATTCTATTTTTAGTTAAAGATATATTAGCCTTTTTTCTATAAATATAAGTGTACTTATTCTCTACTTAATCTTGGCTTTCTAGTTCTTCCCTAATATTATAGGCTATATAGAACTAGGCCCTTTTATTCTTTTCTCATTCTATATATTTCCGAAGTAAGTTATCTATAGCTCTTTTACTTTCTACCTAATCTTAAAAGTCTATATACTATATTTAGATAGAATTTCCTTCTTTCCGCTTATATAAGATATAGATTACAGGTTCTTTTAAAGGCTCCGGTTTATAGAATTCGGCTATAGTATAGAGGATCTTAATAAACTTATCTTTCTTAGATCTTCCGCTAATCTCTATTATATAAGTATAGTTTAGATATATATTAATTATATTTTTAGTAAAGTCTTTATAGGAAAGAACCTTAATATAAGGGCAGGCTTGCGGTCTAATTATAATAAAGAGTTACCTGCTATATATCTGGCCTTTTTTATTATTCTTTCTGAAATACTTGAACTTATATTCTATAATTATTTCTCTATCTTTAGTAAAGCCCGGTTTTCCTATATTTAGTTTATTTAATTTATAAGGGTCCGTACTAATTTCGCTTTTACCTATACTATTATCTGTAATACTACTAACTATAATACTAGTAAAAGCAATGCCTATAGAAGTAGTACTTATAAAAGTAGTACTATTATCTCCAGATAGTAGAGGCTTTAATACTTCCGGTAGTAGCTTTAATATCTAAGTACTAGAATAAGAACTAGTATTAACTAACTCAGCTAGTTCCTATACTTTACTTTAAAACTATTCTTTTACTCTTAAATTAGTTAGATTTTTTTTAAACTTTATAGTTTAAAAATAGATATTAACTATAATCTCTTTAATTCTCTTTATATTAATTAAATTAACTATATTCTCTTTATCGGAATAGCTCTATTACTAGCTTATTATAGCCTTATTTGCCTTTAGAATTTCTATATAGAGCTTATTATTATTATTACTACTTAAGATCTTTTTTATAATAAGTATAATATATATATAAACTTCTTAGATAAAGGTTATAGCCTCTTTATCTTTTATATTCTCGTTTTCTTTTTTATTCTAAATTAATTTTAGCTTATAATTTATTACTTCTATCTAGCTACTAGAAATTTCCGATATCTTAACTATAGCCTATAGTTCTAGTACTTTTAGTTAGTAAGCGGCAAGTTATAGAGATCTCGACTTACTTTATTAAGCTTCCTTATCCAGAGTAACCTATAAAGCCTTTATTATATAGATCTGCTTAATCTCCTTAAGCTAATTAATACTAGAAATATTCTTTATATCAAGAATTTACTTAATCTCCTCTAAGGATATTACTTTTTTATATTATATTTCTCTAGGTAGTATTAAAATATAGCTGAGATTTGTCTAATTAGGGATTAGTTTAAGCTATTGGTTTATTTTATCTATTTACTCTTTACTAATTCCCGTTACTATATATATTATTACTAGTACTAATATATAAATTAAATAAAGTAGTATATATTATTTAAGGAGGTTTACTTACCTAACTAATTGCCTTTATTTTTAGTAGCTATTAGGGCCTTTTTTAAGTAGATCTTCTTAATCTCCTCTATTTAATTAAGCCAATAATTAACTTTAATACCGAGAACTTTCTTAAGCTCTGAAATTTCTATACTCTAATATAGTTAATTAATAGTAATCCGCTCTGCTTCGGGACCAGAAATAGGCTCTAGGGTTGCGAGGCTATTGAATTAAATAGTTCCTCTATCCTTATCTATCTGAGTGGCTATAGTAGTATTAGTTCTATTAGGTGTAATATCTGCTATAATTATATTTAAGATCGGTTTCTTAGTAGTAAGGTTAAAGTAATAATATTTAGAAGTTAATTTTACTTTTACTAGTTCTCTTATTAGAAAGATTAGAAGTCTTATATTAACTCTCTAATATTATATTTAAGTATTTCTTAATTACTATTTTAGATCTATAAATACAAATCCGTATATATTAGAAAGTATAACTATTTCTGGAAAGTCTACTTTTAGAAATAGCTTCTATATACTAGGGAGAGAGTATTTATACTAATAGGGAATTCTAGTATTTAGCTATTATTATTATTATTATCTATTAATATATTTATAATTATTAAAAATTATTATTACGAAACTTGTTAGCTATTAGCCTAGATTATATGAAACCAGTTAGCTATAGCTTAAAGATAACTGCTATAAATACTATTTAGAATAGTAAAGGCCTAATATATATTAGCTACTTAAAAGCTATTAGCTTAATTTTAGTAGCTCTAATTAAAGATACTTAATACTCTAGCTATATCTAGTTATTAAGTAATGAATAGCAGAGTTACGGTATTAAAGGGGGTATTAAAGAATATCTTACTCTTTTATCTATTATTTCTTCCCGGAAAGGAAATAATAAATAATTAAATAGTTTAAGCTAGATCTTGCTATTATTATATAGATATATAAGAGTATAAATATCTAGTACCTTATTAGTTCTTGTTATATTCTAGAGCTAATATAAAGGCTAATATCTTTTATATTTAAGAAAAGAAGATTAGAGAGCTCTTTTAAGAAGATAGCTTAGGAGATAGCTATATATAAGGCTTATTCCAAAGAAATATAAATATTTAGCTATTCTATATATTTACTAGAGAATAAGTATATCTATTAGAAGTCTATATTAGCTTGCCCAAAATACCCGAAATATAGCAAGTGGGTTACTAAGCAGAAGTAATAATAACTAAAGGTAAAGACTTTAGCTATAATTATTAAAGAGAAGGAAGCTATTACTATTAAAGTTAGAAGTGAGGAAGAAATAGAAGACGCTAAAGAAGAAGATAATAATAAAGAATATAAGATTGAGTTAAGAAAAAAGAGGTTAACTAACGGCAGAGCTATCTTTATTTATCTACTCAAAATAACGAGTTCTAGTGAGCTAGTTTAGCCTAAAGAGCTTGCTACTGGGAACCAGCTATAGCTAGAGGCTATTAAGCTTAACTAATATGGTATTCTATTCTATTCTAATAGGCCTCTCCGTTCTAGCTAATCTAGAGATATATATGCAATTCTTATAGGTAAAGATATTTATAAAGAGGCTTAGTAGTTTACTAGATATAACGTTTCTAGCCTCTCTCAGTAATAAGAGCTCTATAGCGAGAGAAGGACAGTATTTACTAAAAAGCTAAAGGAGAGGAAACGAGAGGAGGTAAATAAGAAGAGGAAGAGGGTAAAAGACACTAAGTATAAAGAGCTAAAAGAACAAGCAGAGCGGAATAAAGAAGCTACTAAAGCTGCGCTATAAAGATATAGAAAGAGATAGTTAAAAAAGAAGTAGTTATATATTTGGATTAAATATTAAAGTTTTATTTTGAGCTATTTGGGGTAATAATATAAGTAAATATTCTATCTTAGTTATATTTATATAGGAAGTTAATAAACTCAGTTATAAATATCTAAGTAAAAAGGGAAGAGGATTAAAATACCGTTTTCGGGGGGCCAATATACTGCTCGCTAAAGAAATTATAGCGGCATTTCCTTTTAAGTATTGCAATCCATAGCCAAAACCGTCGATCTTGGTTTAAAGCTATAAAGGCGAGAGTTGAGGTATTATTTGAGGGCTACCGACTACAGAACTTGTTATACTCGAAGATGCGAGCTAGTAAGTAGTCGCACTTATATACTAGAGCGTAAGCTA